ATTTGTATTCTTTAATTTTTGCTCTACAACATGACTCAAGTTCAGTGATCCAGTATACTCTGTATAACCCAATGAGGTTGACAGAAGTAAGGGGTTTGAAACAGCAGGAATGGAAGCAGGTTGGTAAACTGAGCAATATTGGTGATGGCAGATTAATACACTAACACCAAATGTGTCAGTGCGCACTGTGCCAAGACAAAGATTTGGACACACTAGTCACGTTTTCTGAATGTTGTATCCAAATATGTAATCTAGAGTAATCGGACAGGCTCAATACTAACCTCTCCCAATCCCTTCCTCCTCTCTCTCTCTCTTTCTCTCTCTCTTTCTCTCTCTCTTTCTCTCTCTCTTCTTTCTCTCTCTTTCTTTCTCTCTCCCAGCAATAGGACAACCAAATCCCTCTCTCTCTTTCCTCTCTCGCTCTATCTGCTTCTCCCTTGCTATTGGTGAGTTGTACCTTTTTCTCTTACACCATTGGACGAGTAAAAATCTCCTTCTCTCTCTCTCTCTGTCACGATGCTGCCCATGATAAGCACTGAGCCGGGGGTCTGTCCAATCATTGTCGGAGCCATCAATCAGGGCTGACAGGCCCAGACGACATGAAAAGGAGCGGCAGCGGCAGCCATTAACCGCCGCCCCATACCCCCCCTGCATCCCCCTGGCCCCCTGCGCTTTGTTTTCCTTTCAGCGGACAAAAACAGACTGACAAGATGGAGGGCTGGACATTAATCAAACCACCCTGTGGAACAACCTCTTCCAAGCAGATAATAAATAAATTCCACTCCTCTCATTGGACAGCTGCTCTCATTTGGGCCCTAACCCTGCCTAGTTGCCTGCCTACGTACCCAGCCCACCTCCCTTTTTCCCTTTGCCTTCTCTCTCTCTCTCTCTCTCTCTCTCTCTCTCTCTCTCTCTCTCTCTCTCTCTCTCTCTCTCTCTCTCTCTCTCTCTCTCACTATATTTTTAAGGGTCCTCATCTGCTCTCTGCCACTATTCCCCACAGATCGGGGGTGGGCAGGTGTTAGTGCTCTGTGAGGCAGACCAGGGCCGGGGCAGAGTCGAGTCCTGTCCCCTGGTTCAGAGTCAGACACCCCTCTCCCCTCACACACACATACACACACATCTACGAGGGGGGCTGGGGTTGCCTGGGCAACCGGCCATGCTGTGGCGATCGGTGCATTGTGTGTTTGGCTGCTGGGGCGATGGTCACCTCTTTTACCGCATGGGCTCCAGACAGACAGACTGACCGATCGACAGACAGACATAGGAGCGGCTACCATCAGAGAGAGCACTGCCCCCCCACCCCACCCCCCTCTTTTACGCTGCTGCTACTCTGTTTATTATTTATGCATTGTCACTTCAACTCTACCTACATGTACATATTACCTCAATAACCTCGACTAGCCGGTGCCCCCGCACATTGACTCTGCACCGGTACCCCCCTGTATATAGCCTCCCTACTGTTATTTTATTTTACTGCTTTAGTTATTTGCTTTTATTTTTTTTACTTAACACTTAAAAAAATAAAAATCTTTAAAAATTGCATTGTTGGTTAAGGGCTTGCAAGTAAGCATTTCACTGTAATGTAACTACACCCGTTGTATTCGGCGCATGTGGCAAATACATTTTGATTTGATTTGATTTGAACACTACTCCTTGCGCCATGACAAAGAGATTACACTCACATGGAAATGTGTACATGCTTGAATACAGACACATTCATTAATGTGTCTCCAAATACTCATGGATTGCAACGGTTTTGTATGTAAAGACAAAATGTGTGTGCTGTTGACACACACACACATAGACACACGTCAATTCCTTTATTCTGCCCTCTCATAACATGGCATTTATGAGTGTGCTAACCCTTTTGTTTGTTTCTCAGAGAGAGAGAGAGAGGCCATTAAATAGAGCAGAGGAGCGGATCACTAGCCATTCAATCATGCAGACCAGACCCTTTTCCTAGGAGCCTTCCCCTGTTCTGTTCTGCACACTAGCCTATATCATCACTGGGACTTGAGCAAATGTACCCCGTCTCAACAACATTTTCCTGCATTGCTGTGATGACTGTACGGCCCCAAGATTGTTGTGACATCACAGGACTCTGGTTTGTCTGCTGAGTGTCATGTGAAATGAATAAGATAGTAGTGCTAGCGTAGATGAGTGGGCAGCTACAGTGTTAGCCACTCTTATCAGTGTTATTAGATTCCATACTGTCCTATATCTGTAAGCCTCTCTATGCTCAGTCTATGGGACACATCAAAGACTTGAGAACATTGGGAAAGCATGTGTTCCCTAAACAGCCTTGCCTACTGACTGGCCACATACATTCACTGGAATAAAGCTGATTTGAAGAAATATTGCTCATAGCTTACAGCATTCTTGAGCAGAGAGCAAGTTAAAATCCTAACTTTAACAGTAATATTACAGAATCAAATTCATTTCCAGAGCTACAAATCTAACATACTTGGTTGGAAGCAATGTATTATTGCCAAACTACTCACAGCAAAGACAAATCATTCTTCTGTCAATGAGACAGTCTATTTTTCCCCAGAAATATTTGTCTACGGTTTGACAGATATGGAAGATGAATGTAAAGTAAAGGCGGCACGTGGGAACCCTGGCGCCCTGCGTTCCAAGGCATTGTGGGAACCCTGGCGCCCTGCGTTCCAAGGCATTGTAGGATATGTTTGCTTGCCACCAGAAACGTGGCGTAAATGATATATTACAAATCACAGCAGGGGAAAGACACTCAATTCACATTTAATACATGTCTAATCTGTGTTTCCCTTCACGCTGTTTCTGATCCAGTTCAGGGAGAGAGCCATGGTGAGGTTATGCATGTATCTATGGCCTCCGCGGTTTAGAGAAGAGGAGCCTGAAGGGGCCACAGTTTTCTAGGGCCGGCTGTTACCGCCACACCTTAGGAGAAACCTCTGCCTCCTTTAATTGAGAGGTGACTATCTTGATGTTAGATGGTATCAAAAATCTACTGAGAGAGAAGATCTGTTTGTATCACAAATGAATATGTATGGTGTCACAGAGAAATGCATTGGGTAGCATAATATATATGTTCAAGATCTAAAGCAATGTCTTTGATGAGTTGTTGAGAAAATTACAGGAACACATTTCAGTCATGGATACTGCAGGATAGAGATACAGTGGCAAAACAAGGCAGATGCTCATAATAAAGGAATTCAACCCACAGAGAGGGGTTCGATTTCAGGAAACGGGATTGATTCTTGCACTGGCTCTATGCACACTCACTGGACTTTACCCACACACTCACACATACTACACTGACACTCCAAACACACACACATACACACATGCACACTACATACACTCACACACACAAAAGACACACATGCATATTGACGCCACACGCATACACACTTTCACATTTTTCACATACGCTACTGCTACTCTGTTTATTATCTATCCTTATTGTCCAGTCACTTTTACCCCTACCTACATGTACATATTACCTCAATTACCTCAACTACCTCGTAACCCTGCACATTGACTCTGTACCATGCTCCTTGTATATAGCCCCGTTATTGTTATTTTATTACCAAATCCTTTTTTGCTCATTTAAAAAAAGTTTTTAACTCTGCAAAGGGCTCGTTAGTAAGCATTTCCCGGTAAAGTCTACACCTGTCGTATTCAGCGCATGTGACAAATATCATTTGATTTGATGGCTGAGATAACTGATTGTCCAAAAAGAGACTATTCCTTGTCCCACCCAGGTCTAAATCAACCCTGGTCCTACACAAACCATTGTCACACACTTATCTGTAGTGTCATTGACACCTAAATGGATTAGCTTCATGCAACACAGATAATGATGAAGCAGATTTGTGGCGTACATACGTCTGTCTGAGTGTGTGGGTGTGGGATAAGAGAGATAGCATAGGGGTGTATTGATTATGGAGCATATGTGGTTCCCACGCCATCCTTTGTTCCCGGTGGGAGCCTCTCTGTTGTGGGTCTTTTGTGGGGAGCACAGCTGGTGAGTGAGGACCAGGCTGGGTTCATCTGAGGACCCGGGGAAAACTCCTGTTCATCCTGGGGCTTCAAGAAGAACACAGGTCCTTTTGAAAGACAGCTGAATCTTGTGGCCAATATCTGGTAATGTTATTGGTCTCCAGTTGCGTTGGCATAATTGTTAGGTAATAATTAGGGGGTAATTTTTATGCAGCTCACAATGTAAAGAGTAATCATTAGAAAAAGGTGGGTTAGATCTCTTTAATTTTAAAATAATTTCAATGTTATGTTTTATAAGATACCATATGTAAAAAGTAATACATTTCTAAAGTGTCTTGAGGGTATTACTGCTATGATAACATGACGCCTAAGTATCAGTTCTGGTTTCGCCCAGTTCTGACAGAATAATGTAAGAAAATAGGAGAAAGAAAAGCACAATTATGCTTTTGGATTAAAAAAACTGTACTTTTTTATTCAGCAACATTGTATTTAATTCAATACCAAGGCTAGGTTCATTTCACGAGGTCAATGACAATACTGTAAATCAAAATGAAGTGACACAGAGTGCAGCGCAGCTTCGCTGACGGCTATATTGTTCAGGGCTTCTGTTACGACTTCTCTATAGAGCACCGACTGACTGCTACCTCTTTCACAGAAACAAGAGTACTAAACTTGGTAACAAATCACTTGCCATCTACTAGGCCTACTACTGCTGGCCGGCTAGAGAACGATGCCAGAGGGCAGAGGAAGAATAAACTACAGTATCATCTACAATAACCTGAGCAGTAACTAGTCCTGATCAGACTGGAGTCAATAACACTTCCCCTGGAATGATCACATTGTCAGACAAATAGACTCCTCCCTCACTAGTCTATTTCTCTCCCAGCCCAGAGACATGGCTGGGAAAGGACAGACAAACAGATAGACTAGACTGGTGTTGATAAGGCTGCTCCATTTTGGTTCCCTCTCACAGCAGTTTTTATGTGAGTCTCCCTCCCATAATGGCACTTTAACCTGGACAGGGGTGGGGCACTTCACTCCCTGGGTGGAACAGGGGGTGGGGCTCGGCGGGGCCACACCCCTTAGGTGTAGAAAGTAGTCTCCGCCCCCTCAGACCCGGCCTCTGGCTCCGCCTTCAAGGCCAAATTAGGCTTCTTGCGGAGCCGCTTGGCTTCGTTCTGTAGCTTCTGGCGGATGTAGCCCTTGATTTCCGAGTCCGTCTTCCCTGGGAAGTAGTGCTGCACCACCCCTGTGGGTGAGAGGTCAAAGATCAGAAACCTATAGAGATGTAAAGTTATCATTACTTGGACATAACCCGTTTTTGCATGGACATTTCCATTGAGGGTCTCCACCATTTTAAAGTAGTCAACTGGGTGGGGATTCCTATGGGTTGGAAGCGATCAGCCAATGATCAGAGCATTGTCTTCTTCTGCAAATTGTTTTGCCTAGTTTGTAAATGGCTTTAAGCTATATCACCGCCATCAAGTGGCCACAATAAATGAATGACAAGATTTGGTTCAAGACTCCAGCACTGCAGGTGCCAGTAAATCACCGATATTAGCTTTACACTCTTTTTTCAAACATCAAAATTATCAAAATCTTTAAAATGGAGTTATCCTCAATGGCGCTACCCATGTTGTCAGATACAAAGTTGAGATCTCTATACATCTCTATGCCTGTACCAAGATTACCGTGGTCTATAAAACGACAGTTCTGGTAACAGACAATGGCAACACTGTTACATTAGTAATTTAGCAGACACTTATCCAGATCGACTTACAGTCACTGCATTCAACTAACTTTAATAGGAAAGTATAAAGTTGATGTGAAAAGTATTTCCATTGCAGCATGAGGTAAGTGTGGGAAGTGAGACATGTTCAACTGCAGTATGGGGGTGTGACTAGCTGTTATGAGGGGGTGTGACTAGCTGTTATGAGGGGGTGTGACTTGCTGTTATGAGGGGGTGTATCTAGATGTTATGAGGGAGGGGGGTGTCTAGCTGTTATGAGGGGGTGTGTCTAGCTGTCTCAGACTGCAGTAAAGACGAGACCTTACTCAGTATTGCCTGGATCTCGTCTGCAGGCAGGGCAGGCTTGGGTTGGCCCCTCTTGTTGTTGACGATGCCGGAGATAGAGTGAGAGGCCAGGCAGTCCCTCTCATAGAGGCCCCGGAGCAGGTCGTTGGTCAGCTTCTGGGCAGTTGTCCCCGTGTTACAGCGGTCAAGCAGCTCCGCAGTGATGAACTGGAGGGTATAAGACATTAGGTTGCATCTTTGAAATTGTGGTGGCCCATCCCATTTTAGAGATACAGTGGGGTCCCTAATTATTGGCACCCTAGATAAAGATGAGAAAAAAAGACTGTATAAAATAAATAATATAAATACTGAGCTATATTATATGCAAAAAAAAAAGGGAAATTATATTATTTTATACTAATACAATTGCTCAGAGAAAGAGATAGGGGTCCAAATTATTTTGCTTCCACTGTTCCTGGGGCCCTTGGTATGGTCAACGGCATCATGAACTTTACCCGGTACCAGGACATTTTAGCCAAAAACCTGGTTGTCTCTGCCAGGAGGCTGACACTTGGCCTTAAGTGGATCTTCCAGCAAGACAATAACCCCAAGCACTAATCAAAATCCACAAAGAAATGGTTAATTCACCACAAAATCAACATTTTGCAATGGCCATCTCAGTCTCTGGACTTGAACCTCATTGAAAACCTGTGGTTTGAATTGAAGAGGGCAGTCCATAAGCACAGACGAACGATATCAAGGATATAGAAAGATTCTGAATTGAGGAATGGTCTAAGATCCCTCCCAATGTGTTCTCCAATCTCATAACACATTTTAGAAAAAGTCTCAGTGCCATTATCCTCACAAGGGACGGGTGCTAGAGAATTGAAAACAGGGGTGGCAATAATTTTGACACCTATATTTTATTTTATTACTTGTTAAACAAAATCTCTTTCTCTGAGCAATTGTATTACTATAAAATATTTTTGGGCATACAATATAGCTCAGTATTTGTATTATTTATTTTATACAGTCTTTTTTGCTCATATTTATCAAGGGTGCCAATCATTATGGACCCCACTGTATATTGACATTCTGCTATAAGACCAAGAACAAGGGCCTTTCAGTCAACTTCAAAGAAAACATATAATTTTGCATATTGCATGACATCAAAAGTGACTTCTAATACAGTTTTTAACCTCTCCCGAAAATGTTTGATATATATTTTTGATGTCAAAGACACTTAAAGGGGTTCATCACCTCCTGATAGAGGGGTGGTCCGTTGATCTGGGAACCCCCCTCATGAGACCCCGGAGGGTGTCCATTCTGGTGGGGGTGAGGGGGCTCTAGTTTGGCCGACCAGCACCCATTCAGCACCCCTGGAGAGGCCAGCAGAGCCGATGTTGTCATGGCACCACTCCTCACCAGGATCTCAGGCATGCTGGGAGACGTAGTTCTCCGGTCCGTGCTGCTCGACCACACCTCCGTCCTCTCGATCAGGGCCTCCAGGTTACGTGCCAACTTTCCACACGCTAGCATACAATAGTATGGCAGTCATTAGCATGAATCCCACAAAAATCAAAGATATTTAAGCATCCTGGGTTGCTCTTAGGCACAGATCTAGGAACAGCATACCACCCCTGATTCCTGACCTTAATCATTAGCAGGGGAAATAAAAAAGTGAACTTAGATCAGTGTCTAGGGGCAACTTCCTCCTACTCCTCCTGCCTGGCCCTCACCTGTGAGGCATCTGATTTGCTCCCTCAGGCTGTCCATCTCGCTCTGCATGCTCAGCACCATGGCAACCAGGTCAGCCTTTGAGCGTGACTGTAGGCCTCCAAGACCCTTCAGAGACATTAAGAAGTCAAAAAGTCATACATAGACAGTCTTAAACGCTGTGGCCTAAACCATATGCACGCACGCACTCACTCACACACACGCACTCACACACACTGCCATCAGCCAGTGTACCTCTGGCATGAAGTCGCCATCCTCTATGTGTTCGACGCTGGGGTTGTCTGACACTAGTACCTGTTTGGAGATAAGAAATCAGTCATATAAGTTGTCTCACTTGTATGTAATTGTGGGTCAGTCAGTGTATTTTTTAATTTTGTATTATATAATGTATAGCCAGATTGAAACCTCAGAAAATCCCAGGGGTAGACTGTGATGATTATAAAATATTATTCTTCATAGATTCTTGTCTTTATTTAGGAGTAGCAGCAACATGTTACTTGTTGCTGTCTAGGCTTGTCCTTCTTTTCACCACCTCCCCTTGCCAAAGGTTTGTGCTCTCCTCTCCTCTCTCCATCATTGAGATCAATGGCTGCCCCCACCATGCCTCTCTCTCACATCAGCGCCATTATGACAAAACACCGCTGAGAGGTGAATGCTCTCTGTGTCACTACTACTACAGCCTTGTGGCTTCCAAGTTGTAAACCCTCAAGTAAGGAGGTGGGGTGTTATATTACTAACGTACAAATAGGATTCATGTCGGTCGGTCAACATGCGCATATGATGCCACCATAATGAGCAGACGCGTGACAACCCCGACAGATAATAGAGAAAACTTTGTCCCAAAATTATTATATGATAAGAGTCGACCCAAACCCTCGTTTTCAACTTCTGGAGAGCGGTGTTGCATGGTGGATTCTCTTCTCCGTTCTCTTTCACCGGGTGTGTGTGCTTTCTTCTCTTCTGCAGTCTGTGCTGTAATAGACAGCCCGTGTAGGGTAATTAGCGACATAAATCGTGAGCGACAAAAACTCGCCCCTCACGGAATGGGCAGCTACTGTATAAAGACCAGACTACAAATAACCGTTAAACGTTTACGTACACATAGAGGCTGGCTGTGCGATGTCGTGATGTCAAAGTCTTCATATTTAGGGTCTTCCTCCTCCTCTTCTTCATATTCGAGGTCGAAAATGCGCTTTGCTATTGTTTTCCTTCTCATCTTTCTGCCATTCTCCTTTTCCCCCGCTGAAACAGTGGCTGCTTCTTGAACATGCTGATCAATACACTGTGCTCCGCTCCCCGACTTTCGCGTCAATGCTGGGTAAGCACCCGCAGCAACCGTGGCGCGGGGAACAATATTTGTTACAGTTGTCCTACTTAGTGTACTTATTGCATCTAATTTAGTAGAACTGTGTTTCACACACTTGATTTAAGCTGTTTTGCGGTGAAATGTACCGTGGCATGACATGGCAAGATTGGACAAAGCCTGCTCAAGATGAAAGCAGCAGTTATAGCTTTGGGCATGATCAGGACTTTCAAGTACATTTATTGTATAATTATTTAACAATTATTCGAAGGGCTAATGTACACTATGTGAATTTCAATTGCATTACTAGGCTATAGCCTACAGTTTAGGCTAGGCTACTGTCCTTTACGAAAAACCACATTAATTTCACGTGATCTTAATTGAAGTGATAACATGTAAAATCAACATGTGATAACATGAAACTATACATGTGAAAACATTTGAGCACGCATGAAAACATGGGGATGCAAAATGTCAACATGTTATACCATGAAACTATACATGACAACATTTGACATTTTTCCACATGTGAAAGTGCAAATTCCACATGAGTTAGATTTTCACATGTGAAAATTGTTCAGATGTGAAAGTGCACATTCTTTTTCACACGTGAAAATGCAATTCGACATGTGAGAGTTAGGTTTTCACATGTAAAATGCAAATGGCACATGTGAATCTGCAATTCACATGTGACATGAAAACATGTTATCCTCCTCACGTGAAAAGTTGGTGTTAACATGTGAACTCCATATTGAATACATGTGAACATATGGTTTCAAATCAAATCAAATCAAATCAAATTTTATTGGTCACATGCGCCGAATACAACAGGTGCAGACATTACAGTGAAATGCTTACTTACAGCCCTTAACCAACAGTGCATTTATTTTAACAAAAAAAGTAAAAATAAAAGAACAACAAAAAAAGTGTTGAGAAAAAAAGAGCAGAAGTAAAATAAAATAACAGTAGGGAGGCTATATATACAGGGGGGTACCGGTGCAGAGTCAATGTGCGGGGGCACCGGCTAGTTGAGATAATTGAAGTAATATGTACATGTGGGTAGAGTTAAAGTGACTATGCATAAATAATTAACAGAGTAGCAGCAGTGTAAAAAGGATGGGGTGGGGGGGCAGTGCAAATAGTCCAGGTAGCCATGACTAGCTGTTCAGGAGTCTTATGGCTTGGGGGTAAAAGCTGTTGAGAAGTCTTTTGGACCTAGACTTGGCACTCCGGTACCGCTTGCCGTGCGGTAGCAGGGAGAACAGTCTATGACTAGGGTGGCTGGAGTCTTTGACAATTTTGAGGGCCTTCCTCTGACACCGCCTGGTATAGAGGTCCTGGATGGCAGGAAGCTTGTGAACAACTGACCTCACATGTCTCTTTTGTTTTCACATTAACTTTTCAGCTCAACATGTGAAAACATTTATTTCCCATGTGAAACTGAAACGTTTATTTTTTGTAAGGGAAGTAATTCAATGGTATGGGGATTTTAAATTAAGTGGTACGCTGTTCAGCTAAAATGTGTAAAAAATATATATATATATTTAATCAATGAGAATATGATTACATTTGACATGATCACTTAGTACTGAATTTTCAATACAACCCCACCTGGGATTTAAACACACAACCTCTGGATTTGGGGTACACTGATCTTTCTGCTGCGCTACAAAGTCTATAGCATTCCCAGAAGTCCCCTACACATGAATTACCTATAAAACATCTCCGCACTTGGCAAAAGTGCCATATGCACTGCTGTTTTAGTTCTCAGTTAATCTGACGATTCTCTATTAATTGATATCATTGATTTATAGTGCATTCAGAAAGTATTCAGACCCCTTGACTTTTTCCACATTTTGTTACGTTACAGCCTTATTCTAAAATTGATGAAATTGTTTTTTTCCCCTCATCAATCTACACACAATACCCAATAATGACAAAGCATAAACAGGTTTTTAGAAATTGTAGGAAATGTATAAAAAAGAATTCTCTGCAGATCCTCTCAAGCCCTGTCAGGTGAGATGGGGAGCATCGCTGCACAGCTATTTTCAGGTCTCTCCAGAGATGTTCGATCGGGTTCAAGTCCGGGCTCTGGCTAGGCCACACAAGGACATTCAGAGACTTGTCCCGAAGCCACTCCTGCGTTGTCTTGGCTGTGTGCTTAGGGTCGTTGACCTGTTGGAAAGTGAACCTTCACCCCAGTCTGAGGTCCTGAGTGATTTGGAACAGGTTTTCATCAAGGATCTCTCTAAACTTTGCTCCGTTCATGTTTCCCTCGATCCTGACTAGTCTTCCAGTCCCTGCCACTGAAAAACATCCCCACAGCATGATGCTGCCACCACCATGCTTCACCGTAGGGAGGTTGCCAGGTTTCCTCCAGACATGACGCTTGACATTCAGGCCAAAGAGTTCAACCTTGGTTTCATCAGACCAGACAATCTTGTTTCTCATGGTCTGAGAGTCCTTTAGGTGCCTTTTCGCAAACTCCAAGCGGGCTGTCATGTGACTTTACTGAGGAGTGGCTTCCGTCTGGCCACTCTACAATAAAGGCCTGAGTGGTGGAGTGCTACAGAGATGGTTGTCCTTCTGGAAGGTTCTCCCATCTTCACAGAGGAACTCTGGAGCTCTGTCAGAGTGACCATCGGGTTCTTGGTCACCTCCCTGACCAAGGCCCTTCTTCCCCGATTGCTCAGTTTGGCCCGGGGTGGCCAGCTCTAGGAAGAGTCTTGGTGGTTCCAAATTCCTTCCATTTAAGAATGATGGAGGCCACTGTGCTGTGTGGACCTTCAATGCTGCAGACATTTTTTGGTACCCTTCCCCAGATCTGTGCCTCGACACAATCCTGTCTCAGAGCTCTTCGGACAATTCCTTCGACCTCATGGCTTGGTTTTTGCTCTGACATGCACTGTCAACTGTGGGACCTTATAAAGACAGGTGTGTGTGCCTTTCCAAATCATGTCCAATCAATTGAATTTACCACAGGTGGACTCCAATCAAGTTGTAGAAATGGAAACGGGATGTACCAGAGCTCAATTTCGAGTCTCATAGCAAAGGGTCTGAATACTCATGTAAATAAGGTATTTCTGTTTTCGCTTTGTCATTATGGGGTATTGTGTGTAGATTGATGAGGAAAAACATTTATTTGATTCATTTTAGAATAAGGCTGTAACGTAACAAAATGTGGAAAAACTGAAGGGGTCTGAATACTTTCCGAATGCACTGTATCTCAGGGTTTTCTGTATTGTTGTCTAATGTTTTCTGCATCGTTGTCTAATGTTGGTGGGGTATATTATTTTGTTTTAATGTTACTCCTGAATCACTATAACGAATATAATAGTTTTTCTTGAGTGTACTATACAAAGCTGAAATTTACCTTGAAGTCCAAAGTGTAGGAATATAGGTGAAATCAGTCATTGACACAGACATGATGGCATAGCAGGAATACTGGAATGCTGTGAACCAAGAGTTAAAATCCCAGTTGAGGACATGTTGAATAATAATGAGTGTATAAATAAACATACATAATGTATGTCAACGTGTGTCAAATAAGTACGTGGAAAACACTGGGCTATTTTGTCACGTTCCGGGGACATCCTAACAAATCGTTTTTGTTTGCAGGGCATCATGTGAAGATTTTAATCCACGTGAAACTTTGTGTGAAATATCATCACATGTGAAGTGTTCCAATACAACATGGTTTCACATGAAGAGTATTTTACTCCTCTAATAGCGGAGTGATAAAGGCCTAGTTCACTAATTTTGTTGGATTTTTTTATATATATATTTATTTATTAGGGGGTGTTGTAGCACCCTCAGCACTCCTACTTCTCGCGGCTATGTCCACCTGTATTGTAATTGTGTATTGTATTTTACAGTATTGTATTGTACTTCTGTATTGTAGTGGTCCTGTATGTGGCTCAGTTCATAAGAGCATGGCACTAGCAACACCAGATTTGTGGGTTTGATTCCCACTGGGGTCACATACCAATATGTGTGGACTGTTATCATTTTTATGAAAGTGTCTGCTACATAAATGGCTGGTATTACAGTACTGTGTTGGCCAACGCAATTTTTGTAAAGCTAAAAACAACGGCAGCAACTTCATTTTGGATACATTATTACTGTATAGGGGATGCATTTCTTTCTGGTTTTGTATTTTCTGGATCATTAGTGTGGACACTTTAATTTGCGTATTGGTATTGTATTGTGTTGATATTGTATTACTGCACTAGAAACACAAGCATTTCACTATAGCTGCTGTAACATCTGCTAATCTGTGTGCGAGACCAATAAACGTTGATTTGTCACATACAAAACATCTCTGGTCTTGTCAATATGTGATTTTGTTTTTACTTACTGTGTAGTAAAATCATGATAGTTATCATCATAGTAATACATTCGAGTATGTATCAAACTGTTTATGTTTCTACTTTACAGACATACATTTTCATTATGTAGTTCTCCAAATCTATAGTAGTGTCACGACTCCCTCCGAAGCTACCACCTCTCCTTGTTCGGGCAGGCTTCGGCGTTCGTCATCACCGGCCTTCTAGCCACTGCCGCTCCTCATTTAATCATTCCATTGGTTTTGTCTTGTTCATTACACACACCTGGTTCATATCCCCTCATCAGTACCTGTATAAGTGTTCCCTATGCCCCCTTGTCTTTGTGTGTGATTGTTTATTGTGAGGATAGTGAAGCTCGGTGGAGCTCCTTGTATTTTGTATCGCAGGGTTATTTTCCCCGTGTGCCTTGTTGGTTCCAGTGCGCCTGTTTTGCGTACTAGAATGTTTTGACACATTACTGCTTAACTCTGTTTCCGGAATAAATCCAGTTAACGGTAATCCACAAGCACATGAGCTTTCAAAAGAGGAAACAGATTCAGGGATCAGAGGAGTGTATGTGTGTGTGTGTGTGTTTGGCCCCATAATTGTGATGAGGTGTCAGGCGCAGGAGGTAAAACACCGAAGTCCAGAGTTTATTCCGTTTACATAAATAAAATGCACCCAGCGTCAATACGAAAATATCACAAGGAAAATATTCCACCTTGGCAATAACAAATAGAAGAGTAGCTAAACCGAGC